TTGAAGGCGACGGCCATTGAGGTTGCGATTGGTTTATAGAGTTAAATATGACGGCCGTTGTTATACTCATAGTATCGTCAAAGTTGGACCGTTTGCTGCAGTTGTCGTCGACAGTAGAGCCCGATTCTGGCCTCAGATACTCGACGGCCCACCGCTTGTATCGATGGATATCCCAGTGAAGGAATATAAGCCACGCGAAGCCAATCAAAGTCATGCCAGACATGAATATATGGTTGATATCGCTGTCGGCGGTGTCCAAGTCGTAGACACAGATGAGGGCAGCCGTCACTATAATCACCAGAGCGTACATAACGGACAGAAAGCTCACCAATCGTGCGGTCATATGTGCGGAATCTATTGGCCGGTTGACGGCACTGATGTCCGAGTGGTAGTCGTCGTCGGCGGCGAAGACACTGCCGAGACCGCCGATACTACAGCCACCGATTGACACGTTGTCGTCGCAGTCGGACACCGATCGGCTCAGTTTTTTATTTTTACCTTAATTGCAATCACAATCGTTTCGCAATTAAAATACAGCAAAAACTTTAACAAAAATAGACAAACCTTTGAGCGAAGAATTGGATGAATGAGTGCTAACAGTAGAGACGGATTCAGTGGTGGAGCGGTGTCTCGTACGGGCCGGTGGTGTCAGGTATTTGATGGGCGGACTGTTAATGGATAACGTGTTTATGGTCTGAACCACATCTTTCAATGGGAACTGTTTGTTGTTGTCGTCGTCGAGAGCGCTGTCGACAACGATTTGTGGCATTTCTAAGTATTTGTCGTAAAAATTGTTGATATTGTTGTTGTCATATACGAATCCAAATGACCTAGGTCGTGGACGTGAGCTTACATCGATGAATAAACTACTCTTTTTCTAATAATTTTTATTTTAATTAAATGTTTTTACAAAATAATCACAAGTTTGTAATATAAATACCTCGAGAGATGTGACGGTAACTAATGATAGAGACGCGGGCCTCGGCTTTGCTGGTCTCAGCTCTACATCCATTGTCTCAAAGGGTAGTTTTGAGGCAACGGATTAATGGATTGATGATTGAATCAATGGATTATCAACAGTGTTATATCAGTTCATTTATAACATATTTTATAACATATAGGAATAGAAATCATTTTATAAATCATAAAAATCACAAGTTTTCAAACCACACACTAAAGAGTAAAAGTCTTATAAAACAAATACAATTAATAGCGATTGTTGGGTAAAATTTTGGTTTATTTGTGTCAAATCACAATTGCTTTAATCAATTTGGTATTTAATAATCATATGGTTTAATTGTGAACTCAAAATAAACGTACGAACACTTTTAATACTATACGCTAATTTTAGTTTTAATAAAATATAATAAAATTTCCAGTATATGTTTATAAAGGTTGATTTCCAATCACATGAACATCACAAGTGTCTCTCAAATGGTCTCTCTCATTAGAGGATAGTGTTAACTAGTTTTTAGTAGTGAATCGGGAATTAGTAGATATTAGTGCACCGGGAATTAAAATAACGTGGTTACTAATTGGATCAATATTATTTCAACAATAAATCAATTATTGACTTTTAAAACAATATTACTTTGGATTTTCATACTTATATAAAGCTCATACCACACAGTATGATGATGATATTGAGAATTAACAGGTTTATTTTTTATAATTATTTTAACTCAAAATTTATTATTATTATTATTGGAATCAAAATAATTGAAATGGTTTCATTAATTTTATAATATTTCCTATATAAAATATCCATGTTTATAAAAAATTACTATAAAGAATGTCGTATAAAACAAACGATTTATTGTTGTTATTAACAAAAAATTATTATGTTGCTAATTGGCATATATTTATTATTATTTAATCTCTTTAGTGTTTTCTAAGTTATATTTCACAACTATTTTGCTCAATACACTAATTTGTAAAATATATAGAATGTGCACATTACATTTTTAAAAATTATTAATACTATGATGATTGTACTCAATTAATATACGAATTCGTATACCTTTTGTGAATGTTTGTGGATTTTATAAATTAATATTTTTAGTTATTAATAAAATATAATAAAATATGGATAGCAATTATTTTCATTAATTAATTCCTTTATCTTTTTATACTTGAAAGAATATTTCAAAACATTTAGAACATTAACCAAGATATTAACAAGAATAATTTTAATATGCTGTATTATAACTATATAAAATATTATATTTAACCAATATGCACTTTAAATAACATTCATTAACAAAAGTTGAATAATTGAATATTTGCTAATTATAGCCAATTTTATTATATATTTTGGTTTAACTAAATACATATATTTTTAATCATTGCAAACTTATGGGCTGTAATTTAGCGTATAATATGAATGGAATTGAAACGAATATTACAAATTTTAGACACATCATACACATTTAAGCTATATTTTAATTAAACAAGGTTATTTCACACAAAATACATAATCGGGTTATTAGTTATTATTGTTTCGACGCCTTTGATTCCTGGCTCTGTTGCCCTGAGCTCGAGCCCTGCCGGGGCTGTTGCCCACGTTATTTGTGGCTAAACAAACACGGTAAATTAAAATTAATAATTGGACATGATAGTTAAAGCTTATAAAATAAAAACATACGATTGGTTGAGCCACAGGGAGCGGCCTCTCTCTTCTCCCGGGTCTCGGCGTCCTCTATATTGTGGTCACCGCTCGAGTCGACAGGAAATGCGGTGACGATATCGACGGCCAAAACAATGACCACAAACACAACGACCACATGAACTAAATTCATACCGTATTTACTATAGTATTAAACACTCTAAGAGATGGGTTAACGTTAATAAAGTTATGAATTGTGATTATATTAAGGAAATTAAGTGACAATTTATAGGTAACGAGAATATTGATTCAGCCGTTGTATTGTCTGACATATCAATTATTATGAAAATATTTATTGAACTGGAAATGCACTTTTTTACTAATATTGTGTCTGTATGTAAAATATATTAACTAGATTATTATTTGTTTAAACTATCACCAGGCATTATTTACACTAGAGTACACCCAGCATAAAACCCTTGTGTTGTAATTTATAGACTATTCATATGTTAGTCACATATAGTGTACTTTAATATAATGCATATTTGAAAAAACTCCTTGGTGATTCAATAACCACGTCAAATTAAAAGCATCCCCTATTTGACCCTGCCTTGTTTTAGTTTAAACCATATTCATTGACATTCAATAATTTGGCACATATTTGACTATTATTCTGTGATTATTAATGATAAACACAAATGATTATTTTTTTATTGTAATCAAAATAATATGTGTAAAATCATGATCAAATAGTTTATTTAATTTTTAAATAATATTTGAAAGTACTTGAATTTTTAAAAAGTAATATTCTAAATATGCTAAATGCTACTTGCAACTATTCTTTCAATGTAAAAACAAACTTAATTTTTAGCTTAAATAGAGCAATTTTCTTTTCATAGATAGTAGTAATGTCGAACTCATAACAACAATATAACCATTATGCAAAATAATAAATTATGTAAATTATCCATATACTTTGTTCGAGGTTTTACTCAATTATTTTAAGTAAAATATTCTTTAATTAACAATTGTTAATTGCATTTATTTAATTAAACAAAAAGTAACTGTTTGCCCTCTTATTAATTATATTAATATATTTTATATAATAATTAAATAAGTATTAATATTTTGTCACATTATTATTAATCATTTTAACCAAATTACCTGCAGTTAACAAATTATGGGTACTTTTTATATAACAATAGAATTCTATATAAATATTGTTAACAAAAATTCGTGGAATATTTAAGATATGAAATTATAATATAAAGGTAATAAGTTATAAAGGTACTTTACATAATTAGGTCATATATTTTGACCATGTGTTCAAATAGAGTATAACACTTCTTTCAACACAATTAAAAAACAAATATTTATATTTAGTTTATATGAACTGATATTAAAGTACAGTCGAGAGAATCTGAATAGAAATAATGGGTTTAACTATTGAAATGATTTTCTCATTCACTCTCTCATTGAAATGTGATGTTTTATTCGCGATATTTATATAACGATGTATTCGCAACATATATTTAATATTTTTGTTGTTATTCAATGAAATATCTATTTGTTATTCAACTTTTCAAAGGATTTTTTATTTCAATAAACGTCGGAATATGTACTGACACTACAATACCGATGGAGATCTTACATTATACTGTATTATTGACTCTTTTATTACAGTATATACTCTCAAAGTTTGATGGATTGGCTTTTTATACATATATAGGGTTTTTTATAAACCAAACATAACATATTATCCGCAAATTCTGCACTTATCCATTGATTCTTATGGTTAATGATATCTACTTTTATTTATTAATAGGTTATAACATTGTGCAGACTTTTCCAACGTCAAAGTATCAATGTCATTTGTAAGAATATCCTTGATTATCAAAAACATACTCACATATAATTAATAGCTTTTAAGACTTTTAACTTTAAGCTCATAAATCCGATGTCCGATCTAATCAAATAATCATTGCAAATGTTAGGTATTAAGTATTAACACATTTAGTTCATACATGTAAGTCATGTATTAAGCTAAATATTAGGTACAAGTCGTACGTAATACATTTTGCTTGTTTGTTAATATTATATCTATTATATTTGATGATAATTCAATATAAGATATGTATTACACGGTGTGATATTAACTGATCCATAGAATTAAGCGTCGATAGAATGTACGCTATTTGTATGGGTTGTGCACATTTGCATCCTGGTCATAATCCAATTGAAAAAGAAAGCGTTAGTATATTAAATATTTACCATTTAACACTTTACATTATATTCTCGTACATAAGACAATTCATTTGGTATTTTCATGAATATGTCTTTGATTGTTGAAACAAACTTTTATATTATTTTAATTACTAATAGAAATTGAATTATGATTTATAACTAATGTATTTTTAACAGAGATTCATAACTGAATGATACAATTATAATTGCACTTTAATTCACTGCAACTGCCATTCAATTTAATACAACGCTAATTCTGTATATTAAATGTTGTGAAATATAGCATACCTTAAACTAAAATACTTAACTGGATTATGATATTTATAAATTTCGCAGATGATAAAATATTTTCCAAAATTGCTGTAACATTACTTAACGTCGATTTCTATTTTTTCACGATGATTGCATTTTAATAAATCAATTCAATATTTAATAATACTTTTTATTAATGTAAATAATAAAATGATTTTCATATGACAACAGTTAAATATATATATAATTTTAATAATTAAATTACAATGATATAATATCTGTATATATATAATCTGTATATAACTTTGTAATTAATTTACACGTGTGTATAGAAGTGATACCAAATTTACTTCACAAAAAATGA